CACGATAAGGTCCGGTTAGCCCTGCCGACCGTGACCTCGCATTGTCGGCCCATGTTCATCTTGGAGTCAGTGATGACTCCAAGATCCCTTTCTGCCTCTGTGCTCTCAAGAAGGGAGTTTCCCATCTTATAAGTGTGCTGCTGGTTACTACTGCCCAAGTGGAGCACCCTGCACTTGTCAGTATTGAAACGCATCCTGTTTTTGTTAGCCCATCCCTGCAACTTATCCAGGTCTTTCTGCAGTCTTTCCCTCCCTGCTAACGTGCCCACCTCATCCCAAATTTTGGTATCATCAGCAAATTTGAACAGGCTGCTTTTCACCCCATCGTCCAAATCGCTGATAAAGAAATTGAACAGTGTGGGCCCAAGACCGAGCCCTGGGGGACTCCGCTGCCCACTTCCCCCCAGGTCGAATATGACCCGTCCACCACCACCCTCTGAGTATGACCCTTCAGCCAATTTGCAATCCATCTGACTGTGTAGGCATTGGTGCCACAGTCACCAATTTTTTTATGAGGATGGGGTGGGAGACAGTGTCAAAGGCCTTGCTGAAGTCCAGAAAGACTACATCCACGGCGACACCTGCATCCAGTGCTTTTGTGACCTGATCGTAAAAGGCAATCAGGTTGGTCTGACATGACCTGCCTCTAATGAAACCGTGCTAGTTGCCCTTGAGCATCATCCCCGATGCCGGCCCATCACAGATGTGCTCCTTGATGATCTTCTCAAAGAGTTTCCCCAGGATTGAGGTAAGACTGGTGGGCCTATAGTTGCCCGGGTCCTCCCTCCTCCCTTTTTTAAAGATGGGGACCACATTGGCCATCTTCCAATCATCTGGAACCTGGCCCGAGCACCACGAGCGCTCGTAAAGCTGTGCCAAGGGCCCTGCAATAACCCCTGCTAGCTCCCTCAACACCCTGGGATGGAGAGCATCTGGACCTGCTGATTTGAACACGTCCAGCCTCTCCAGAAGCACTCTAACCCGGTCCTCCTCAACCTTAGGTCTTGAGGCATTCCCCTCTAGTCTGTCTTGAATCACGGTGGCGGAGTCCCGGTCCCTGCACAAGAAAACGGAGGTGAAGAATTTGTTAGAGGTCTGCTTTCTCCTCTGGCGCAACCACCAGATTGCCCAGCGTATCTTGCAGGGGCCCCACATTTCCCAGCGCCTTCTTCATCCTCCCTATATATTTGAAAAAGGACTTTTTATTATCTTTGATCTTGGACGCTAGTCCTAGTTCTATGTCCGCCTTAGCTTTCCTAACAGCCCCCCTACAGGCCTGAGCAGTAGAGGTATACTCCTCTTTGGAGATCGCCCCCCTCTTCCACCGGGTGTACGCCACCTTTTTGGCAACCAGGCATTCCCGGACATCCTTGATGAGCCAGGGAGGCTTTTGGGCACTCTTGCCCAAAATTCCCTCAGTCTTCTCTTCTACAGGATAAATAATTTTCGTTCTTCCAACCTTTCCTCATAAATCATGTTTCCTAGACCTGTAATCATTTTGTAAGTCTGTGGTGCCCAAAACTGGATGTAGTTTTCCACACATACTTCTTCCTCCTGACCAAGTGAGGATCTGGAAAACAGAAGGGTTTTTTGTGTTTCTTTCTTTCTATAAAGTTACTTCATTTGGAACAGTGAAGCAGCTGCTTTATCTGGAGAAATGCCATTTATTGTTATGACATTCCTTTGTGTGCTGTCAGGCTGTTAATATAACAGAATTTTTCATGTTAACATTCTTCTTTAATGTGCTCTGTATTAATTTGCTGCTTCAGAGCAGAGAAACAGGAAAGTGCTCCAGATCAACAACCTGCCATGCAGGTTGGGCTCTGCCACTCTAGTGATACCTCTCATTTTCCTTCCAGGTCGTTTGTATTCGTTCTACATGGAACGCGCTTTCGCCAAAGCTGAGTTGTGACAGGCGTCCGCTCATTTTGAAAACACTGAACGAACTGTTTGCCTTGGTTCCCTCATTAACGGTGAATACAAATGACTATGAGGTACGTCTCTTAAGTCTGAAGTGGATATTTCTGCATGTGAGTTTTAAATGTGTTACCTCATTTTAGAGACATCTCTAGTCTGATTGTAACAGTTCATGGTACCCTTATAGTTGCACAGCATTTTCAAAGTGCTTTTATATGCATTAACTAATTGAACCTGTGAGTTCAGGTAAGAACATGCCTATTCATCTCCCACAGATGCAGTGTTGGCAATAGACTTCGTATCTCAAGAACCCCTGGCATATGGGAAAAGATACTTTTATTACAAATAATTCTGCAGTTTTTGGGTGCCCTCTTGCGCGAAGTTGAGATGGGTTTTGGGTGCCCTCTTTTTTCCCTTGTTCGTTGAGTGAATGTGGAGTTGGAAGCCATTTCCTTTGTACAGGCAGACAACTGAAGTGGCTTTTGTTTTCACTTTCATGGTCACACAGATTGAGGCGCAAGGGGTGGCTTGGCTTTCTGTCTATTTTCTTCTCTTTCTCCCAGGAAAAAAGGTGGGATATGGAGAAAGAAGATGCATATATGCACTCTGTTCATTGTTTCCTTTTCCGACATGAAGCACATGGGGAGGAGCAGGATTGCCACCAAGATCCCTGTGCAGGGTTTGAAATACAGGTTTGGGGGGGCCTGAGCCCCCCTATAAGAAACAAGAGCCCCCATAAGCCCTCTTATAAGAGATGAGAGCCCCAAACCGCCCCACGCCTTTCTAAGCAGCTCAAGCACAGAACCTTCCCAAAGAGTTGGAGTGTAATTCCTATCCCTGTGGTTGGATATGGGATGCTGTATAATCAACATTTGCATACCAATGTGATAGGTGCCCTAGATAGATAGATGAATGTTCTGATGTTTTTCAAACATGTATCTCTTGCGCTGCAAATTATGCTAGCTGAATCTTTAACCCTGAAAGCCATGCTGTGATTCTGCCATGTAGATATATCAAACTATATCACCATTATAGCCCTAAAAAGAAAGACATTTCAATAGTGGGTGCAGTTTATTTGTAAGGTTGTGGGGAGGGAGGGGAAATTTTTCCTTCACACAAGCAGAATTCAGGAGCAGATTACCAGACTAAGTGTTTTTGGTACGTATTTTCAACCTACCAGCAATATACAGAAAGACACCTGTGTTGTTTTAAGGACTGAGCCTTAGTGTTTTAATTCCCTCGTAACAAGGCTTTTAGCAGATCTTTTTGGCTGCTTTTTTTCTTTCATAATGCAGTAATTCTGTCTTCAGGTTTCAGGTTAGCAGGTGACTCTGCTGTTGCTGTTGTGGTTTTTAGACTGTGGAACTCTTATCCCCTTAATCTGTCTCATTTCTTCTCTTTCTTCTTTGTCTTTTTTTTAATCTCTCTCCGCCATAGGCAACGCTTTATTTTAAGCACGGTTGGGTAGTGCATAGAGAACCTTTTACACTTTTTTTCCTTCCTGTTTTGGAATACTTGCTTTGTCTGGTTATGGTTAGAGCGTATATTTTTATTATACTTTCATTACACTTTTATATATTTTATTATACTTTTATTATTACTTTCATTGTAGTTTGTTTGTTTTTTTTTCTTGTACTAATTAAGTGTTTTGCATTCCTCAAACCATATCTGAGTGCCTAGTGCTGGAAATCAAAGGCTGGTTCTGGAAATTGTAACCTCTTGAGATGACATATTTAACGGAAGTACTTTTGCTGGAATGCAGCCTCTCTTCCCTTCCACAGACTTTAAAAGATTTGAACTTCAGTCCTGTACATCCTGAATTCATTATGACTACTTGTATGCTTAACATTAAGCGTGTGCATCAGTGTTGCAAAACCCAGCCCTGGAGAAGGGAAGTTGCCTCTGTGTGTGTGTGTGTGTGTGTGTGTGTGTGTGTACTGAACCAGATAAATGAAGGTCACTTGCACTGCAGTATCAAGGTATTTATACTAGACTAATCACTGGGATATCCAATACTAGGGCTTTGCAAAATGGCAACATTTCATTTCGATTTCAGATTCGCTGTTTTGAAGGGACAGTGTTTCATTTCACTGTCTTGAAGCACTATTCTGTTCCATTTCGCCAAAACTGTTTTGCTGTTTCAAAGCTGTTTCATCACATTTTGGTGTTTTGCCCATAGGCTATAATGGGGAATCACAAAAATCCCTATAACTTTGTCATTTTGTGCCTGATTTGGGTGAAAACAGCTGGGATGCTAGCCCCTTCTGAGGCAATGAAGCCTGCCAGCTTTCAAGGAGATAGGTGCAGGATTTTCTGGGAAACTACACTTTGTCATGGAGTAGGGTCCCTAGTGATGGCTGTGATACCCCTAGGGTCATGTGACCATGCTAGCTCCGCCCTGCTGGTGCCTTCTCTTCTCACCTGCCGCCACGTCTTGTTGGAAAAGATAATAGATAGGGAGGCTGCCCTTGAGCTTCAGCTCAGTCACGGTCCTAATGGACCCCACTAAACCCTGTAGGTTCTTGAACCCCTTGCTGGGACCCACTCTAATTAGGTACCTCAAGGGGACACCCTAAACCTTATGGGCTAGATGCATGGCTCCTACAATCCCTTACCATGCCCCATGCCTCGCAGATAGTATATTAGTATCGTCCTTGTAATGAGCTCTTGGTCTCACTCTATTTTTGTTGTTGCTGGGCACTCTATGCCCCTGTTGCTGTGCTCGCACTGGCATTGGGGCCTCTACACGACAGTAGTGTGCCCCAATGAGACCTCTCTTCCCCTAAAGCCTCAGTCCACCACTTTCAATAACAACAGGTAAGCAGCACACTAGCACTAGCATCTCAGGCAGCCAAACTGTTACAGAGCCTTTCTTTCCTTTCCTGCAGGAGCTTCTTCTCCAGCAGCTGCCAGCCCCAGCCCTGGGGCTTAGATGTGCCCAGGGCCCTGCCTCGTTCCGGTCAGCTAACCAGAGACAGGTGCTAGGGGTATAGGTTGTAGCCGTGTTGGTCTAAGGACATGGCACTGGCACACAAGGTTCTTTGGGTCAATCTGATATCTTTTAGTAGACTAATGGAATAGTTATAGAAATATATCTTAGTAAGCTTTTGGGTTGAAAACACTTACTCAGGCTGAGGAAGCACCTGCAGTTGGTGTGTGTGCTCTTCCTGGATGGAAGGAATAGTAAAGAAGCCAGAGGCTGGCATGCAATGCAGGCAAGAAAGGCAGTCAGTGAAAATGGAAAAGGAGGTGTCAGGGAGTGAGGGACAGGTTAGGGTAGAGGGGAAGGGGGATGTAGCAGGTAAAAGTGGTGGAGAGGTACCTGGACTGGCTGGTGGGTGGCATGTTGGCACAGGAAAATGGATCCCCCTCTTCCACGTCTCCTCACCTGTGCTCTTCTACCTCCCAGACTCTGTTCACCAGGACCACCATCCAGTGATCCAGGGTTTTGCTGCTGCATACGCTCCCCTTCACCCTTGGGTTGCACATAGCCACCAGCACGTGGACCGTACTGGATCGCAACAGATCTAGCCATTTCTTAATGCCCTCCTTCAGCTGCTTCACCAGTGCCTGCACCTGTGGTGACGGTGGCTTGCCCCAGCCAAGAACATCAATCCCCTGGAACTTCTGCATTTCGTTTTCAGGTTTCGTCACTACAGGGATCACCTGGCTCAGGAGGGCAACAGCTCTGCCCCCCCCCCC